TCATTTGTTGGACCTGCAGGGTCACCAGTACTGAACGTGTGGAGGTTTGTATGTGCATGGGACAAGAAACTTGACTGCACTGGGGCCTGCAGACTCCCATGCTGGCTTGGGGACCCCAGAAAATCAATGTGCTTGCAAAGAAGTTGCAGCATCTGGGGTGATGGTGACGGTGGAGTTCTTTGTTGAATTAAGTTTTTTCCTAGCTGGCGGGATGGTGATAAAGAGTAGGTGAAAAGTTATATACAGTCTCTTTAGAAACATCATGGAGCGACGTGGGTCAGTGTCAGGATCTGACTTGTCTATGAATGAAACTAGAATTCATCCACATGGAGAGAGGATGGGTGAAGCCTTACCATACAGCAGTGACACTGCTAGTGGAAAGGGAGTTGGGAGCTCCCTGCTTTTGTCCTGGTTTTCACTTTGTGATCTTGGCAAAGCGACTCTTTCTTCTCTGACCCTCATTCTCCTTATCTTGACCCAGGAAATTTCTAAGGCTCCTTCCAGCTCTGATTCTACTCTTTTCCTCAAGGCCTCATCCACCAATGTAAGAATTGGAGGCAAATTGGAGGAGGGGGGACTAGTGAAAAACCCAAGAGAAGCTACGCCGAAGGCTCAGGGCCATGAGGCCAAGCCCTTGCTGCCCGCTGATCGGGGGACCTGCTCCATTGCTGATGAGCAGCACACACAGAAGAGGGATGGCACTGGCCCTGGAAACTCAAGAGCCACCCAGAAAGTGTGTCCCAGGACTCGAATCAGCAGTGGTTACAGGTGGACACCGCTAAGTGCCTTTACTTTCACCAAAAGAGGAGCCCCACTCTGCTCAAACACTTGTTTTGACAGGCAGGCAAAAGGGATTGGCTATCTCAAGCTGAGGAACTGGATACACACCTGGGAAACTCCACAAACACTGCCTGGGGAGGGCCCAGCTTTCCCTTTGTAGGGGTGATTGGGATGTTGAGGACCCTGAGGATTGTAGGGGCCTCAAAGGGCCAGGTAGGGGAGCCAGCGTCTTCCAGAGACTGTGCTTCCGGAAAAGAGGCTGTAAAGCCAGCCTGGGTTTAATTGATAAAACCACCTGCCAACTGGCTTGAGTGAAAAAAGAATTGGTGTAAAGGAGCACTGCCGGCCTCAGGCATAGAAGGATCCAGGTGATGGAACACGGCTAGCAAAACAATAGTCAGTATTTATGATTTGTGGATTTCCTACTGACCAATTCACCTTCTAGGCAAAACTTACCTGTGACCCCAGACGTGAATGCTCATGGAGCTTTTGTGGTATTTGTGGGCACATGCCAAGCGGCAAAAAAACGGAGTCACCTGATGTGCATGTTTCCAGCTGAGGTTGAACAAGGGGATGCTTCCTCTGCCTCATTTCAGCTCGTACTGTGGACAGGTGTCCTTTTCATGCTGTATTTGGGGCCACATTTTTTGCATTTGTGTGTCTTTTCTTGGTGACTTCGCTGTTTCAAATGGTTCCTGAGTGCTGTGCTGAAGCTAGTGTTCCGCAGCCCGGGATGGGTGTGATGAGCCTTCAGAGGAAGCGGGCATTTCAGATGAGCTTTGTTTGGGCATGAGTTACCATGCTGTTGGCTGTGAGTTCAGTGTTAATGAATCAACAACATATGTTAAATAGGTATCTTCAGAAAGAAACACACATAAAACAAGATTACTTACTGATCAGTGGACAAGAACGTTATAAACAAGAGGTCTGCAGAAACTGAATCCCCTTAGAAGCATTGGTTCCATATTTGATAATTCAGTGTTCACAGCAACTCTACAGGACGTAGCTACCTCGAATAATGAGGACCATTTTTTGTCCCCATCTCCTGGCTTTGCTTTCCTCTGAGCAGGGCAGATTCTCAGCAAGGCTCTCCTCACATGGCAACAAAGGTGTTTACTAGATGCGTTGGGCTCACAGTTTCCTGGCTCCCACAGCACCAGCAGAACGTGGGTGCCTTCATGCGGTGGTTGCAGCAGACATCCCAGGCCTGGCTCTCTGGCTCATATTGGTCCACCTGCTCTGCCCTTGGCCGGTCCTGATGGCCAGGGAGACTGAACCAGGATGTGAGGTCAAACTACCTCTCCACCCAAGGCACTTGGATTCAGAAGTTAGGAAGATAAGATTCCCTCTCGGAGGAAGTCAGATGCTGTCACTGAAAGAAGGAAGAGATGGTGGGCAGGCAGGCACTGGCTGAGGAGAGCCAGCCTTGGTGGTGTTGGAGGGGCTCTTTATGGGGAACGATGCGTGGTCTGCAGAATGGAAAGTGCCCTTTCCTCTCACCAGGAATGCTTGGATGTTCGGGTTATGGGATTCTCAATAGAAGATGGAGCTAAATTCGCCTGGCTAATTTTTAATTTTTTTTTTTTTTTTGTAGAGACAAGGTCTCGCTCTGTCACACAGGCTCGAGTGCAGTGGCACAATCATAGCAGCCTCTCTTGAGCTCAGAAGGGGCTCAAGATGTCAGACCTGGAGGCGCCAGGATCAGATGGAAGTGGTGCCAGGGAAGGGCCCCAGAATTAATGATTGTGGATATCTGAGTGGCCTGAGCCCCAGCTCTCTGCAGGGAAGGAGAGGAGCAGAGGAGAGGCCCAGGGCATTCCAGGTGATAGCAGAGCCTGGGACTGTAACCGGATATGCCCAAGAGGTGGGGTTCAGAGAGCCAGCAGGGAGCAGCAGAAGCGGCTGGGCAGGGGCCGCCCAGAAGAGCGCAGAGTGAGCAGATTCTTTGTGCCTTCCGGTGGCCTTTCCCAGGTTTGCTCCTGTGACTGTTGAACTCTGGAGAGCCTCGATCCTGGTGAGCAGAACTGGAGGCGCCTTGTGGGTGACCTCAAGTACTGCCCTGGGTGGGGACCGCCTGGCTGCCCAGGCTGGGAAGCGGATGTGGACAGGGATGACCCACGGACGCTTCAAGGCAAGGTTGATTTGGCCTGTTTCCCTGCATTCCACTTCCGTGGCTCTGTTTCTGCTGGACTCTTCCTGCATTCAGAGAATTGGGTCAGCATTATGGTTCAGCGTAGGAAATAACTTGAAAATATAGCTGTCCAACAGCATAAGAGGGTGCCAGAAAAGGCCAAATTCCTCCCTCCCTCCCTCCCTTCTTCTCTCCCTCCTTCCCTCCCTCTCTTGCTTGCTTCCTTCCTTCCTTCCTTCCTTCCTTCCTCCCTCCCTCTTTCTCTCCCTTCCTCCTTCCCTCCCTCCCTCTTTCTCTCCCTCCCTCCCTCCCTCTCTTCCTTCCTTCCTTCCTCCCTCCCTCCCTTCCTTCCCCCTCACTCCCTCCTTCTCTTCCTTCCTTCCTCCCTCCCTCTGTCCCTTCCTTCCTTCCTTCCCCCTCCCTCCCTCTGTCCCTTCCTTCCTTCCTTCCTTCCCTCCCCCTCCCTCCCACCCTCCCTTCCCTCCTTCCTTCCTCCCTCTCTTCTCTCCTTCCTTCCTTCCTCCCTCCCTTCCTACCTCCCTCCCTTCTTCTCTCCCTCCCTCCCTCTCTTGCTTCCTTCCTTCCTTCCTTCCTCCCTCCCTCCCTCCCTCCCTTCCCCCTCCCTCCTTCCTTCCTTCTCCCTCACTCCCTCCTTCTCTTCCTTCCTTCCTCCCTCCCTCCGTCCCTTCCTTCCTTCCCCCTCCGTCCCTTCCTTCCTCCCTTCCTTCCTTCCCCCTCCCTCCTTCTCTCCTTCCTTCTTTCTTTCTCTCCTTCTCTCTCTCTTTCTTTCTGCAGTCACTACTTAGTTTATTCATCCATTCGACAAATACCTGCCTTGCATGGCTGTAGAAAGGTCACATGGGGTGCAGCTTACCTTGTGATCCACCTCTCCTTCCCCTATCACCTATATGTAAGAGTCCCCAGCTGTTGTTGAATGAATGAACTCCCATTTGCCAACCATTCCAGCCCAGATTCTTCGTGATAATTTGCAGAGAGCCCAAGCCAGATTGGTCCCCGAGGGGTCTGGCTGGAAAGTTCCTGTGCATGATTCACATGTCCCAATCAGCTGTGATTAAGCTTTCCTATCTCCCTGAGAGCTTCGTGGAAATCCAGAGATACTTTCAGCCTTGGATCATAGGATTTGACCGGGCTGTGGTCTGGACACAGAGAGCAGCTCACGAGAACAGCCCACCAGGGAGCCATTTTCAGCTAGCTCTGCAGCTCTGCTTGTATACCTTTCATCAGGCTGCCTTTCCATGAGAGTTTAAAGATGGTGCATTCACTGAGGAGTCTCCCTGCCTGCCTGGGAGAGAAGACATCTGTGGGACACTCGGTGCATGTTGCTTTTATTCTTCTCATTAAGCCGTAACAGCTGGATGGGTGGCTCACACCTGTACTCCCAGCACTTTGGGAGGCTGAGGCAGGAGGATTGCTTGTGTTCAGGATTTTGAGACCAGCCTGAGCAATATAGTGAGACCTTACCTCTACAAAAAATTTTTTAAAAATTACCTGGGTGTGGGGTCGTGCACCTGTATCCCCAGGTACTCAGGAGGCTGAAGTGGGAGGATCGCTTGAGCCCAAGAGGTCAAGGTTGCAGTGAGCCGAGATCATGCCACTACACTCCAGCCTAGGTGACAGAGTGAGACCCTATCTCTAAATAAATAAATAAATAAATAATACCATAACAGTGAAATATTAATAGCTATAATTAATTATTTTACTTTTTTAGAGACAAGGTCTCACCACATTGCCCAAGTTGGTCTCAAACTTCTGGCCTCAAGTAATCCTTCAGCCTCATCCTCCCAAATGGCTGGGACTACAGGTGTGCACCACCATGCCTGGCTAATTTAAAATTTTTTTTTGTGGAGACAAGGTGTCGCTCTGTCATCCAGGCTCGAGTGCAGTGACACAGTCAGAACTCACTGCAGTCTCTCTTGAGCCCAGGAGGGGCTGAAGCATCTCTCCCACCTCAGCTCACCAAGTAGCTGAGACTACAGGTGGGTGTCACTGCATTCAGCTAATTTTTAAATTTTTTTGTAGAGATGGGGTCTTGCCACCTTGCCCAGGCTGGCCTCGAATGCATGGCCTTAAGCACTGCTCCCATCTCAGCCTCTCAAAGTGCGGGGATTACAGGCATGAGCCGCCGCAGCCAATTATCTTGCATTTGTCTAGCATGTTTACCTACTTCGGTGGCTGCCAACCCCTGTTGCACATTAGCATTAATCACCTGGGGAGATTTGATAAATAGACTTGCCCAGGATTTGGGGAGGGAGCTGGGCACTGGTGTTTTGTTAAACCTTCCCCAGGTGGTTTTGATGCACAGGAAGGGTTGAGAACCGTTTGTCATCTGGGCCCTCATCGGGGTCCTGTGCATGGGGATTATTGGCCCCATTCCCCAGGTCAGGAGCGTGAGGCTTGAAGTTACGGAGAAGTTTTCAGGGTCACACACCTGAGGCCAAACAGCTGCTACAGAGTAGAGTTCATAGTCAATGACAAAGAAGTTTATTGCCTTTGGGGCCTCTGGATATAAAAAAAGCCTTGGCATGACCCAGTATCCCTGGGGCACCAGGAGCCAGAACAGTGTTCAGTGGGGTTTGGGCGTATGAGTGGTGAATGGCATCAAAGCTCCAAGACTAAGGCAGATGCCCCAGGGGTCTCTGGGATCGTGTGTAGTCTAGTGCAGCATGTCTCAAAGTGTGGTACTTAGACCAGATGCATGAGCATCATTTGTGGATTTGTTGGAAATGCAGAGTCTCCCCCACTGAATCAGAGGCCCTGAAGGCCCAGCGATCTGTATTTTCACCTACCTTTCAAGTCATTGTGATGCATATTAAAGTTTGAGAACCACTGCCTTAGTGAAACCATCGTGGGACTCCCTATCAAGTCATCTGGATTGAGTCTGCTGTTATTCTTGGCTTTGCCAAGCTCTTTGATCTCCGAGTTTAGCTTTCCTCCTCAGAAAGATGGGGAATCTATGACTTTGTGAAATGTCTTATTAATCGTAGAAGTCCATGCACATGTTTGTTTGGGTTTACTTGGGAGATGAACCCTGGTAAGCTCTGTTATGTGGGTTTCGTGGAGACACTGTACTTGCATATGTGAGGTGCAGGGAGCTTCTTAGAGATGTGGAATTGCAGGTCCCATCCCAGGCCTGTTGAATCATGATGTACATTTTAATAGGAATTCCAGGAACTTATATACTTAGATGCACATTATAGTTTGAGAACTGCTGAACTAAAGAATTAGCAAATAGTGATTATGCTGGGGCTGCTTGCAGCAGCCTGGGTCGAGGGCATCCTTTGGTAGCCAGGACTGGCATGAAGTGATCAGATCTGTCCCAGTGACTCAACTGCCAACCTGTGTTTGCACAGCCCTCAGGTGACAGACCAGGAGCAGCTAGAAGACTGGCTCTGTGGGTATGCTGTGCCCTCTAGCTTACTATCTAGGGCAGAGGCTGACTGGGCATGGGAAACGTGTGTGGCAGCATAGCAGCCTGTAGCAACCTTGGGAACCTCACTGCGCAAGCCTGTGCATCCCCAGCTCTCCACCGGGGTCAGCACAAAGTTTGCAGGTTCAGCAGGAGGCACCCTCCACTGTGGAACAGGAGGAGAGCGTGGAGCTGCTAGCGTGCTCATCCTGTCACCCTGGGAAAACCCAGGCTAGAGCAGGAAGAAATGCAGTTATACGTGACGCCGATGCCGCAAGGGACAGCATGCACCTCCTGGAACGTGTGTGCCTGGGAAAATCGCTGCCAGTTGTCAACATGCATCCTCAGCCTACCCAAGGCAGCTGGGCCTTCTTCCTGACACTTTGCAAAAGAGGGCAAGGACAGACTGTTGGACACAGCCATGTGGCTGAGTCCTTCAGTGGAAGAATGTCAGGCAGATAATTGGTCCCACAGGGGTCCTGTGAACGATACAGTCCCCCCCCCCACCAGGGTATCAGTTCTGGAAGAAGATGGCCCATTTCCAAGTGTCAGTCATGAAGGTAACTTCATAAAAACTGTACTTTCAAATATATGGTTTATTTTCTTTGGACTACCCAAACTTAGTCTTTGGACTAATGCCAGAATCTGAATCTGAACACATTTAGCAGTCCATTTCTGCCATATTAGGTAACATAGATAAATGTGGCAAAAAAAAAAAAAAAAAAAAGGCACTTGATTTTATCTCAACCATTAACACTGTTATTGAGTTTCTGTTGTTTGAAATAGAAATAAAGTGTTTTTATGGCAAGAAAAGCATGTTTATTTGACTTAGGCCCCTTGGAAATTGCCCAGTTGTGTAGTAAACACTTAGGCTGCCGGAAAAACCATTTGGGGTAAGTTGCCAGAGGTGCCTGGTAAATGCACGTGAGAGTGAAATCTGAGAATTGCTGGCTGGTTGTTTTTTGTATCTTCACAGTGACTTTCCCACTAGAAAACGGAGCCTCCTCAGATCTGTTATCCCAGATGTTCCTTTGGAGCCAGTTCAGTTCTTTCTCGTTGTTAAATATTTATGCAACCTGCCTGTTTTGCTTCACGACATGCAGAGCATGGCTGATGCTGTTGAACTGTTTGTGTCTTTTTCTCATATTTTATGTTGAAAGATATTCCATGAATCTGGACAGATTTCCAGCCCGGGCTGCTGGGTTCATTATCGCTCTTGTGTCACAGCAGATAAAGGGGTCAGAGTGGTGTTTTTTGCACACGTTGCAGACTTTAGCTGGAAGGCTCACCTGCCTGCACACAGTGAGTTCCACCAGCCGTGTGTGCTAAGGAGTGGTGGTCGTGGGGGGTGTATGAGGCTGTGGGGAGGCAGCGGGAGAGTGGAAGAATCCCTGTACTTGGAGTCAGATGCACAGTTACAGTCCATGGCTTTTACCTTGGGTGAATGACTTAACCTCCCTGAGCCTCAGTTTTCTCACTTTCTGGCTTGTAAATGCTGACAGCGATGCGTCACTTACAGAGCTGCTTTGAAGCAGGCATGCAATGACATATGGGATAGTATTAATGATAGTGTTTGGGAATTGTAGAGAGTCCATTCATTTTTTTTTAAATAACAGCAAATTCTATTTAAATCCTACTATAGATCCATGGTTTTCCTAACTTTCCATCTTGCCCTGCTCTATTTGTCTTCTTAGCTCTCTAAAATGTGTCTGAAGATTTTGGAATGGTTGTCGAGGGAAGATGGGTAGGCCCTGATCTTTGTCAGTTTTGCCACCTTACAAAACAGTGACGTGTGCTTGAGACTCTCCATTGCAGGCCCAGGTAGAGGAGAAGGAAGAAAGAGGAGGCCAGGTGCGTGGCTCACGCCTGTAATCCCAGCACTTTGGGAGGCCGAGGAGGGCGGATCACGAGGTTAGGAGATCAAGACCATCCTGGCAAACATGGTGAAACCCCATCTCTATTAAAAATAGAAAAAATTAGCCAGGCGTGGCGGTGCGTGCCTGTAGTCCTAGTTACTCGGTAGGCTGAGGCAGGAGAATCTCTTAAACCTGGGAGGCAGAGGTTGCAGTGAGCCGAGATTGCACTACTGCACTTTAGCCTGGATGATAGAGCGAGATTCCATCTCAAAACAAAATAAAACAAAACAATAACCAAAAAAAGAGGCACTTACTGTTTTCTCTGTCTTTGTTCTATTGATTCATCCATTCATCCAGCACATATTTAGTGAGTACTAACTTTGTGCAAGACACCGTACTAAGTGCTGGGGATCTGGTGACAAATTAAACTGATGTGGCCTGGCTTTCGTGGAGTTGACAGTTTAGTGAGGAAAAGAGACACCGAAGAGATAATCACACCTAACACACTGTGGTAGGTGTGGAGGGAAAATGCCAGGAAGCTAACGAGAACAAACACCACGGGATAGGGCATGTCTGGGCAGGTTGGAGAAGGCCCCTGTGAGTGACTGACACTGGGTGAGAACTGGTAAGGAAGCAGAAGGCAGCCAGGTGAGGAGGTGGTGAAGGGTGGGGAGAGCGGATGCTGACTCCAAAAGCAATCGCAGACCACTGAGCATTTTAACCAGAGGAAGCCCAGGATCCGTGTTAGATGTGAAACGCTCACTCTGCTGACAGAGTGGAGAACACATCGTAGGACCACCAGACAGGTTTGGGGTATTCAAGATTAGAAGGATGCTAGGATAGCCTCACAAGGGCTGATGCAGGCTTGGATTAGGGAGGAGTATCATCTTCTCCAGCTGCCATAGCAAATTACTACAAACTGGGCAGCTTAACTCTATGGGAATGTATTATCTTGCCATTCTGGAAGCCGGAAGTCCAAAATCCAGGTGCCGGCAGCTGAGTCAGTTCTTCCTGGAGGCTTTGAGGGAGAGCCCAATCCGTGGCTCGCTCATAGCTCTGCTGGTAGCCGACAATCCTTGTCATTCCTTGTGGACACATCGGTCCGATCTCTGCCTCCATCATAACGTGGCATTTTCCCTTTGTGTCTCTGGATCCAAATGTCCCTCTTCTTCTAAGAATACCCGTCTGTGTTCAATTAGGGCCCACCTTAATCTAGTATGACCTCATTTTAACTTGATTCTGTCTACAAAGACCCTCTGTCCAAATAAGGTCACAGGCGCAGGCTGAGAGTGGACATGAATTTGGGGCAGGGCATGGTGGGAGACACTAACGCCCAGGACAGTTCGTAACAGCAGAGATGGAGGGAAGTGGTTAAATTCAAGAGATATTTAGGCAGTGAAACCAACAAGGGAGTGGATCCCCTCATTCTCGTTCTTTACGCAAATAGTGTTTAAAAAAGCTGATAGCTAGGGTCTTTGGTGACCTTGTTGCTGCCTTTTGTTCTCATTGTCGGATCTCTTCTACTAGAAGTGAGTTTAACGGCGGGGAGGATGAGAGGCACCTCCTCGGCATCCCTGACTTGTCATGTTGACTGGAGCCCCTAAATCCACTGCTTCCTTTGATACTTATGCATTCACTGATGGATCCCTTTGGACCCACCAGCTTATTTCTGTAGATGAACTTGGGTACAATGCAGAATGTGCTCAGTGTGCCCTGCTGGGAGGTAGGAATACTCACTGCTGTTGATTTTTTTTTTCTTTTTTTTTGAGACGGAGTTTCACTCTTGTTACCCAGGCTGGAGTGCAATGGCGCGATCTCGGCTCACCGCAACCTCCGCCTCCTGGGTTCAGGCAATTCTCCTGCCTCAGCTTCCTGAGTAGCTGGGATTACAGGCACGCGCCACCAGGCCCAGCTGATTTTTTGTATTTTTAGTAGAGACGGGGTTTCACCATGTTGACCAGGATGGTCTCGATCTCTTGACTTCGTGATCCACCCGCCTCTGCCTCCCAAAGTGCTGGGATTACAGGCGTGAGCCACTGCGATTGGCCTATTGATTTTTTATCATCATTAATCAGCTATGCAGTGAGTCAGCAGGGATACAGCCCCAGGAATGGTCTTCCAGGCTGTGGGTAATGTGGATTTGATTTGCCCCGTGCTCCCATTCAGGTGTGAGTGTGGATGCAGGTTGGGCCTTGCTGTATCGATTCCTCTGCTTCATCTTCCTGCTCTATTCCTCTTCATTTCTTTCCAGATGGGGTCACTCATGCTCACCCCTCATCCATCTGAAATAGGCTGAAGCCACCCCAGGTGGGACAGAGCAGCATTTCCCCCTCTTCCTCTCCTTACCTCCCTGATATGGCAGGGCTTGGAATTCGGTCACTGTGCAGACCCACACAGGCAGTTTAATTCTTCAGGGCTGACCCTCGCTGTATTTCTCCCTGCTTCTATCCCTCCCAGCCCTGAGCCTGGGTTTCCCTCTCTCTTCGCCTGCCTTTGTCCTGACCTGATTCATCCTTTCATGCCTGAGTTATGCCCACCTCCCCATGCCCTGGGCCAGACCTGCGCCTTCATGCTGTCCATGTGGACAGCAGCAGAGCCAGGCACAACCCAGAGCCGAGGTTAGGGCTGCTTTGTGCTGAGAGCAGTGGTAGGTCGCCACGCTGAGGGTGGGTTCAGATGGGGGTCATAGAGGGGTCCAGGCCAGGAACCGATGCAGGAGAGGGTGCAGGGAGATGGGACTGAGTGAGGTACATCTAGGAGTTGAGAAGTTTGGCCCCCAGCTCAGGACATAGTCTGTGACTGACACTTCACCCGTTCAGGCCTGGCTCTGGCAGCCTGCAAGGTACAAGTTCCGTTTCCAGATGTTGGACTTAGCTGGCGGGTGCTTGACCACTGTGCCTGCATTTCCAGGGGCTTCCTTTATCATTGCACCCTGAAACAAAGCAGGGCACCCGTCCCCTCACCAGCCTCCTTCCTCTTCTTGACGTTGTCTTCCAGGTCTGTGGACCTATCATGCTTTTTTCAGGGAAACAACTTCTTAGGGAAGGGATCTAAAACAGAAGCCTACCTGGGCATGGCAAGGCTGGAAGAGACTTGCCCATTAATGTCACTGAATGACTGGATTTTCTGTGCATGGTAAATATTTCTTTGTATGAGAAGTAACTGAGAGGACACAGCCTCATGAGCACAGGGCTTACAGGGAATCAGGGAGGCCAGCGGGGATACAAGTAGAAAAGCCCTCACTGTGAACCTTGTGTGCGTTTTCTTTACACATCCAACTGGATTTTCCCCTTTGGCATTAGAGAACAAGCTGCTTCCCTCTAAACAAGATTCTGTGGTCGAGGGAGCTCTCCAGCCTCTGTCTGAGCTGGGAATCCGGAGGTTAGGTTTGAGAAGCAGGGAGGGGTGGTCTTCAGGATCCAGGCGTTTCCCAGCTCACCATAACAGTGCGTCTCTGTCCTGGATGAAGAGGGAGTAGGATGTTAAAGTTCTCTTCAGTGGCTCAACATACATATTTTCCATCTCATCAGAAATGTATGGAATCGACTTTAGAATGCAAAATCTTGCTTTAAATTCATGCAGAGCTTTATCCATGTAACACTGGTGTGCTTCTTTATAACACTGAAAGTCACCTCCTGAAGACTGGTTCCTACGTTTTCATTTTTGTATCATGGCTTTTCTTGAAACAAGGCATACACAAATGACGCCTGAAAAACATTTATTACAGCTTTGTAGATAAGTTTTTTAAATTCCAAGCCCTTAAAACAGTGGTTCTCAGCCTCAGGGTGCATAAGAATTCTGTTGGTTCTTTTAAAAATTCAGATGCCAGGACGCCACTCCATTTCTGTGAACTTGACTGTATACGATGATG